TATATATATATATGTATATATATATATTATTTATATATATTTTTTACGTGACATAAAATAAGTCAGAGTCCATCTAGTCACATGCATATCATTTTGCGGTATAAGGCTGGCTTCCCACGCGAGTGAGATGAATTCGGTACTCCAGGAATGCAAGCAAACGTACGGCTTACATCTCTAACGGAATAGTTGTGGTGTCGTTGCATTCTTGCCGCAGGAAAGCAAGAGGCAGGAAGATGACGGATAAAAAAGAAATTACAAACATTTTGAGAAGCGTGAAATCGTTACTGACATTCGATGACAATGACGACGACGACGACGACGACGACGACGACGACGACGACGACGACGACGACGACGACGACGACGACGACGACGACGACGACGACGACGACGACGACGACGACTTTGATGATTTCCTGTTTTCAGCGTATGCACACGAGATAGTATCAAAGTGCATGGACACATGAGAATAACCGGCATTTATACTTAGATACTCTGCAAACACACTGAATCTATTAGTCTCTGCATTTGCCAACTTCGTCGTCGAGAATTGATATACACAGATAACAGATGCGATCGCATGACGGTGATATTATGAAAATGAACATTCACAACATTTTAATGTAAATATTAATAATGTTTCATTAATATTGTATCGCGTGAACGCTTTGCTTTCTCAGTCGTTTTACAGGGTTTAGATTGTTGATAATTTCCTTTCGGACATTGAATATTAACTTTTAGAGATTCTTAAAAGTTTTTCTTCTGTAATAGTCGAAAAGAAACAAAATCAAGTTGCTTTATCGAAATTATCGAATCATAATATGAATTCGTACTTCCTTAGTCGCATAACAATGTCACGAATGGTTTCATTGCTTCACTAAAGAGCTTGCATCCCTTAGGGGACTTCAAGATCTCAAGTTTCAACAACATCCACGTTGGGAAACATTGCCTTGGGTAGTCCATAAACATGGCCGACGTAATGGTCGCTGTATTTACCCTCTCTCATAGTGCGAGATTAATAACGTGGTTGATGCATATACAACGAAAACACATATGCGTGTGACCTTATCATTGTTATATTATATGATTCCAATAATTCATACTGGACAGATTTATGTATTGCCTATTACCCTCGAATAATGAGCTGTCTCTTGTGAATAATGAGCTAATTTTTATGGTGGCATATATATTAATGGTCGATATTGAAATGAATATATTAGTAATTTTACAAAAAATTCACACCGTTTTGATTTCAGATTTATAGAAAAGATTATTACTTGATTGATAGAGAAG